CCCAATAACTGAGACAAAGACATACTGATTTATTTAAACAGCCATAAGCACAATAACTGGACAGCGTGCTTTAAACTTATTTTCTAAGTTAATCTGTCTACCTCCCAGCAGTACTCCCCAAGTTGCTTGCCAATCTTTGTCATCTCTAGGCTGGATCTACTCTATCAGGCTACATCCTCTCTCTCCTTCCTTCCTTCCTTCCTTCCTTCCTTCCTTCCTTCCTTCCTTCCTTCCTTTCTTTCTTTCTTTCTTTCTTTCTTTCTTTCTTTCTTTCTCTCTCCTCCTTTCTTCTCCTCCTCCTAGCCTCATGGTCTCTACATGAGAGCCCAAGTCCAGAACCAAAGCTCCACCTACTTCTCTTCTGCCCATTTACAGGCTGTCCAGCCTCTTTTATTTAACCAAGCAGAAAATATTGGTGAGCAAAGTTTACACAACATCATTCGCTGTACGTGAGAATGCACTCATCTGGACTACAACCAGATCGTGGGGCCCAGAATTTAGCATTTGTATACATAGCACCAGACCAACCCCCAACACTGACCCTGCTCCATGGCAGATGTATGCTAAAGGAAATGCAAACAGGGACTGCAGGATGGCCGTACATTCAGGTTCACTGCAATATTCACAATCAAATGTGTACCAACAGGTTCATGCACATGCGTATATGATAAGAATGTCAGTCGTAAAGAGAAACGAAGTTCTAGCAGCGGGGGCTTACTTCAGGAAAGCACACATCTGTAGGATAGAGGAATAAAAAAAAATAACAGAAGTACAGAATACCATAAAACAAAAACAAATATTCCCTTCTAGCTTGCCCAGGGTTAAATCCCCAGCATTTTCCCTCAAGTAACAAAAGGTATTATGTTTTTATGCAGACTACAACCAGGGTAAGCTCTGGCTGGAGGCGTAATGTTAGTGAGAGAAACCAGACACAAAAGAACAAATGTTAAATGATTGTGCGATATAACTGGATTCTGACACCCTCCCTTGACCTCTGCTGGCACCAGTCATACATGTGGCACACAGACATACCTGGGGATAGAACACCCATACACATAAAAAATACTAATAAATTAAGGGCTGGGGAGATGGTTCAGTGGTTATGAGCACTCGTTGTTCTTGCAGTGGGTCAGGGTTTGTTTTCCACATCACATGGAGGCTCACAAGCACCTGAAACTCCAGTTCCAGGAGATCCGAAACCCTCTTCTGACCTCTGTGGGCACCAGGCACACATGGTACACAAACATACATGCACGTAAAACACTTCCACACAGAAAATAGAGAAATCTTTTTTAAAAATACAAGAAAGAAAAAAGAAAAGAGGTAAAGAGAAACAAAAGAAAAAGAGATTATAATGTGTAATTTTTAAAAATATTTATTATATATACAATATTCTATCTGCATGTATGCCTGCACCCAGGAAGAGGGCACCAGATCTCATTATAGATGGTTGTGAGCCACCATGTTACTGGGAATTGAACTCAGGACCTCTGGAAGAACAGCCAGTGCTCTTAACCTCTGAGCCATCTCTCCAGCCTAATGTGCAATTCTTGATTGGCTTTTATTTTTTCCAAAACAATATTCTCAGGGGGCCTGGAAAGATTACTCAGTAGGGAAAGCCCTTGCTGCCTAAGCGTTGGGAGTGGAGTTGATATTTCTATGTGTGGGTATGGTGTCCCACCCGTAATTCCTATGCTAGGTAGGTAGAGTGTAGGAGACACGAGGTCCTTGGAATCACAGATAAGTACTAGGGAAACCAGGGATAGTCCCTGGACATGGCTGCCCCTCCGAAAACAGAGGTGTATAACCCATTTTCTGCCCAGAAGACTGGAAATGGAGGCAGTCACCAGCCTGGCGACCTGTGCTGTCTGCATGGCCAGGCTACACTAGCTCCCCAAAACTGTTTATATCAGTCAATCTATGGTGCTATCCTCCCCCAGACTCTTATGAGCACCGTTGACCCTGAGCCGGCTTCTTCGTTTATCTATAGAACCTGTCCTTATGGAAGATGTTACTTGTACTTTGCTAGAGTCTTGATGAAATCGTGTCTTAAGCTTTGTTGTACACACGGGATTGAGTTATTTGTCATGAGGAAACTTTTCCCCCCAAATTCTGCTGTGCTTAAACATGTCTGAAATGAATCACCCAGTGTCAGACTCTTGAAGTTCGCAGCAATAGGGGCTGCCTAGTCATGCTGAACTGGACTTTCTTCTTGCCTTATGTAAACTGACACTCTGTCGGCCCTAGTGTTTGCAGAGCTTCCCCACCCCCCAGCAGAGGTGGGGTAGGACAAGCTGGCTAGATAGACTAGCTAAATTAGCAAATTCTGGGTCCAAGTGAGAGACCCTGAATTGATATACAAAGTGAGGAGAAACTGAACCCACACGCACACACATCAACCTCTGGCCTCACACGTGTGTGTGCCACTTGAGCACACATGGGAACACACACTTGAATGTCTGCATACCACACAGACTCAAAGAAAAAAGTAACACTTTGAAATTCATACCACTTCAACGCCTAGAAAATAACTACTAATAACCAGCTGATTTTAGCCCTTTTATGCATAAATAAAAAAAGTATCCCTTTAATTTTTTTTTTTCCTAGACAGTGGCTTACTATGTAGCTCTTGCTGACCTGGAATTCACTGTTTACACCATGGTGGCCTTGAACTCACAGAATTGCCTCTACCTTAGCCTCCTGAGGCTTAAAGACATGGACCACCACAACCAGCTAAAAGTAAACAACGTAGTCAAATGTATAACTGTGTTCTCTTGTCATTCTTCCTTCATCTATTGTTTTATATTTGTTCACTCATTTCTTTATCTCCAGACCCTTTTCCAAAATAGGGTCTCATATAGGAGATGCTGGCCTGGAATTCTTTAGTCTTCTGTCTTAGACTTTTGAGTGCTGGGGTTGCAGGTATGTGTTTCAATGCCTAGCTGCTGTTTGGTTTTCTAAAGAAAGGTTGCCCTGTGGTGCCTAGGTTGGCCTCAGACTATGGCAGACCTCCTTCTTCCACCTCCTAAGTGTCAGCATCTGTGGTTACAGAAATGGGCAAGACATCAACTGTTCCTCTGAAGTTCAGTTTAGTACAGGACCCCAAATGTTTGTGTCACATGATAGGGAGTCTCCTAGTCTTTCAGGAGGACTTCTACTGCACAGGACCATCCCCCAAGACCAACGACCACCATCATCAGTGTGTTTAGATGGGCATAAGATAGCACTTGGTAACAGAGGGAGTGGGTAGGGAGGTTCATGGGACCCTCCCCTTAGGGTCCAGCCACTCCTCTCAGCCAGTCATATGCAATGCTGCTGTAATTTCACATGGGCTCTGAGAAACAGGTGCCCAAGTATGCAAAGCCATGGGGCAGGCATCCTCCTTGCCAGCTGCAGACCTTCAGGTGTAGTTACTTCCAGGTTACCCAGGCTCCAGCCAGAAACCCCTCACCCAGGCTCTGTTGTTGAGGCCAGCTCCTTTTGGGTAACATAACTCTCGTTATTTTTGTTGAAGGCCCACCAGTGACATCATCTCAGCTTGTCGCTGATGTAGGGAAAAGCTCTCTGTGCAAGGTTGACCAACAACTATGCTTCTGTTCAGCATACTGGGTAGCCTTGCTGCTCCTAGAAATCACCCAACCATAAACGCAGCTGGCCCTACCTAGAAACTCCACTTGGGACCAATTAAATTACAGGTCAGCTAGAACTGCTTGTCCAGTTAGCAAAAATAACTTGAGTCAGAGGTGACACCCTGTTCCACTGTGTCGTGTTATCTCCCCCCCCCAACACACACACACCCTTGTAAGCCAAAAGTTATTGTCTTTGTAAGTTAACTTTGAAAGATAATGTCACAGTTTGGATCCTGAGTCCACTGTGTCCCTGGCCATGGTCAGTCTTGGAGTGTTGCGTTCAAGAAACCATATCTGAGATGGGTGTCTGAGTAGTTCGCGCAGCTTCCTCTGTTAACACTCTAAGTAAACCCTGACCACATTGTCTCGTTGTTGGCATCCTAGAAGGAAAGGTAGACCTTGCCTAGTTACTCTTAGCCCCGGCGGCTTCCTCCAGGAAGTGGCATTTGTTTGTTTATTTTTGTTTATTTTTTGGGGGGGGGAGCATAGTGGTTTTGAGACAGGGTTTCTCTATGTAGTCCTAGCTGTCCTGGAACTTAGTCTCTAGACCAGGCTGGCCTCGGACTCACAGTGGTCCACCTGCCTCTGCCTCCTAGAGTGTTGGGATTAAAGGTGTGTGCTACCACGCCCGGTTGGCGGTGTGATTTTGAGACAGGGTTCTGCCTGTCCCGGAACTCACTCTGTAGACCAGACTGGCCTCAAACTGACAGATTTTTTTTTTAATCTTGTTTTATTTTTAAAGATGTGTGAGGGCTCCACAGCCCGTGAGATACCAGAGCTGACATAGCTACAAGTGTCGTAACCACCTGATTTCGCGTGCTGGGATCCAAACTCCACGCCTCTGGAAGAGCAGCAAGGGACAGTGAGTCTTAAAGCAGCAGCAGGGCTTGTTCACACGAATTAGTGGCATGGGCTCTGTTATTTAACTATTCGGTGGTCAGCGACCTAGGCAAACCCGTTTGCCTCTTACTGCCCCAGGGACAACACCGTCAATGAAAGGACAGGTTGCGCCAGCACTCAAAGAACTTCAATTAGTAAGGCTTGATGGATGCAGACACAGGAAAAGACCAGACACAAACGCGCCCCAAGCGACCCCGGGCCCTCGAGTCTTTTTGTGCTAAAACAGCTCTCCAAATATGAAACAGGACGGCTACAGCGCTCGCTCCTGCGAGTTTGGAAACCTCCGTGCGAGCCAAGGCGGCTGCTGAGCCGGCCGCAAGCCGAGGGAAAACACGGACGCCGCGCCGGGCCGCGCCGGGAAGGCCGGCACCAGCGGACCGCACCCGCCAGCACGCGCCGCTCCGATTGGCTCGGCTGGGCCCCGCGCCCAATCGGCGCAGGGTTTGTTGAGCAGCGGCGGCCGCCCGGGGACGGCGGTGGTCCGGGGAGCTGCGGGCAGGCGGGCGGCGGGGCCATGAACCTGGGGTAAGCCGGCGGGGGCTCCCGGGGGCGCGGGGCTGGGCTCTGGCCGGCGCGAGGCGGGCGCGGGAGAGGCGGACGGGGCTCCGGGCCCCGTGCGGGCTGTGGAGGGGGCGCGGCGCCGAAGAGGGCGAGGTGCTCGGGGCGGGGAGTGGGGATCTACCAACTTCAGGATCACTCCGACGTCGCCTTCTAACGGACACAGGAGCTGGTCGTAGTCCTGCAGTGGGGAAGCCTTTAACGACCTACCTATCCCAGGTTGTTTTCTTTAACAGACGGAGGCATTTTGGTTTCCTCTACCAAGGCAACACTGAGTTTAGCGTTGCTAGTCTCCCTGCTCGCCCTTAACTTCTTGGGTTATTTTCTCTAAGGTCGTCCTCATGTTCATTGACCATAAGCCCACCTCCGTTAAACAGTGAAATACTGTGTGGAATCCATCCCATCAGTAGAGCTTTGATGACTCTAATAGACAACATGCGTTTTACTGGTAGTGTTTACCGTTTCTTTATGCTGGTGCTTTTGAAATGTAAAGACTGTTTTGAGGGGGATTCAGACAGGAGGATCAGGAATTCAAAGCCAGCCTGGCCTACAAAGTGAGTCTGAGGGCAGCCTGGGCTATATGACTTAAAAGAAACAAACCAAAAAACCTTGCTTAGATGGCCACATGATTCCTAGACATATTCAAAGGTATCGGTTCACTTTCAAGGTTCATATAACTAGTTCTGGTTGCTATTTAGTTAAACTGTTTAATTAAAACTGTCAAAACACTTTTCTTTTATATTGCAGAGATGGTTTAAAGCTTGAAACTGAATTATTGGATGGAAAAACCAAGCTAATACTATCTCCCTATGGTACGATGTATTATCGGAAGTCTAAAATGTTTACGTTTGTATGTAGCATATGTAGTAGTTTAACAGACATTTTGCTTGTAATATAGCTAAATGGCGCTCGACAAAGAATTTTCCCTTGTGTCTTCAAATTGACATTTATCCAAGTAAGATTGTGACAGTGATCTCTGCTATCAGTTTTGGTTCGTGACATATATTTTATGTGTAGTATATTTTTGATGTTAGCATACCTTATTGCCTAATAAGTAATGCAGGTTCAGGTAATTATGTACTTTGCATGTAAACAAACTATCATGGGAGAAAGTTAAATTTATACAGTATAACCAGTTGCTGAAGTCTTACTATTATTTATTAGTGTTTGAACTCAGTGTGGTTTTCAGTCTTCTCCATCGAGTTATTTGCTTGCTACCCACCACCATCTGTTTATAGTGTTACCTGGGAAAGATAACTGAAATAAAAATGAAGTGGGAGGTAATACTTAAACCACCATGTTGTAAAGGTTGGAGTATTCAGGTAGGACTTAAGGTTAATGCTTTTGAGATAGTATTTTTATCCTAACATCTTAATTAGTGCGTAACATTTTCTTTTGTCTCTGCCTTAATATGTTTTGGCTTTATAGTTTAGTAATTTTATTTTCTTTTGTAGAGCATAAATCAAAAGTTTCTGTGAAGGTAAGCCAAGTGATTTTGACCTTACCTGTTTCCACATGTAAAATGCATATTTTCTTTGGTTCTGTTTATTGAGGCATGGTCTCTCAGTTGGACCTGGAACTTGCTGGGACAGCTGGTCAAGCTAGGCTGCTCTCTCCAGAGGATTCCCTGTCTTTGCTTTTTAACTGTTGGACTTACAGATGGGCCTTGATAAGTACCCAGCATTTAAGTATTAATGTGTGCTCTGAGCATCCAGATACTGGTCCTCACGATTTCATGGCAAACACTTTAATCACTGGGTTAGCTCCCTAACCTGAACTTCATCTTTATAGTGTAAGAAGTATTGATGAACTTGGTAAGAGAGCAGCATACTACAAAAAGGTGTTTTGTGACATTCTTTCGTCCAGGAAGCTCATGGGAGTGATTGGGGCCAGGTTGCTTTTCTTGCTCAGTAACCTGAACATAACTGAATCTGTATAGGAAAGTCTGACTTTTTTTTTTTTCTTTCTTTCTAATGTTGCCTCCTTTCATTATTCCTATTTGGCATTGAGCTATAGGTACTGTTTAAAATTGGACCAATTGTACCTTGACATGGCACAACAGGAATATGGCAAAATAAGCCTAGTTATTTTACTCCAGTTGGTAGGTTTGTGTCCAGCGGAGATTTTCAGCAACTGTGAAGCTCCACCATGGCCTAGAGCTCCACTCTCGCTTTATTTGTCTGCTTCAGAAAAGGGAAAGAGAAAGATCCACGCTTGTTTCCTAAAAGAGCATGGGTCATGTATGACTATAGTGAAAGACTTAGAGGCGTTCTAGAGAGGCCTAGGAAGGAGACAACCCTGGAGACTGACTCTTGCCTGTAGGAAATGAAGAGACAGCTCATCCATCATGTGTCTCTGTAATTAGAAGCTTAGAGATGTGGAAGCTAGTTTCTAGTTAAAGAAGTAGAGAAGTATATTCCAGGCTTACAGGAAATATTACAAAGTGCCAAGTTATGAAAAGTTGATTGTAAAAACTGGTGTACCTTGGGGGTGTGTCGGATATAAAGTTTAGGTGGAGTTTGCACTTATGCTCAAGGACCTTGAAAATGGTGACTTACTATAGGGGAATCCATTAAAGACTTTTTAAAAGATGGAATTTCACTGTGTAAGTCAGGCCAGCCTAGAACTCCATTGTCTCCCTTCCTCAGCCTCCCAGTGCTGGGATTACAGGTCCGCACTACCAAGCTCAGCTCAGTATAGGATTTTTGGTAAGGGAAGTAGCCATAATCTAAGTTTTCTTTATAGGGGAACACAACAGGTAGCTCTGTAGGACATATTATTATAACGGGACAACCAGCTACTTGTCATTCACAACTGTGTAGGGAGCACCTGGTCAGACACTGCACTTACATGGTGGTTCCAGGGAGGAAAGGGTCCAGAAGTGGCTTTTAATGTCTGTTCCTGAGTATGCCACACTTAGCTGATTGAATGAGATAATATGCTTAGAGAACTAAGGTGATGAACTGTGACACACCAAAGGCTCAAGAGTCAAGACAGCAAGAATTGGAGAACGACAGTGACTGGAGATGAGCTGAGGTGGGAGGCGTGGGTCGCCTTTTTGGATCATGTGCAGTATGTTGATAATTTGATAAAGTGACTTTTGAAAAACTAAAATACTTGTTTTGGGTTTTTGTTTGTTTGTTTGTTTTGTTTGAGACAGGGTCTCCCTACATAGTCCTATCTGTCCTGGAACTTGACATGTAGGCCAGGCTGGCCTCAGACTCACAGAGATCCACCTGCCTCAGCCTCTTGAGTACTGGGATTACAGGTGTGTGCCACTGTGACTAGCTCTAAAATGACTTAAGTCTAAAAATGAGGATGTAAAATCTTGTGTTCTCAATTTTCTTGAAATATTGGAGGCTCTTACAACCTCTTCTTGTGCAACTGTGCAGGGTAACTTGGAAATATGTTAACACCTGTTATATGAGGAAAATGTCGGTTTCTGCCTCATCTAACTTATGGCACATATTTAACTTGTCACCTGTCATTTCGGTAGTTATATTGAAAAAGCTCCAGGGATGTAAAAAGTACCCCCAGAGGCTGATATTATCTAACCCTGAAGCCGGCAGCTGGAGAGATGGCTCAGAGGCAAAGAACACTGGCTGTCCCTGTAGCATGGCAGCACCTAACCGTCTGTAACTCCAGTTCCACAGGATCTAATACTTTTCTGACCTCAGTGGGCCCAACACACATTTAGTGCATAAACATACACACACACACACACACACACACACACACACACACACACACACATTCTGTATATATACACACATACATACGCAAAAATACTAAAGCCAGGAATAAACAGGGTGAGGAGATAAGGGTAATAAAGAAATCCTGTGGGTGGTGGCTGGAGGTGTTTTTAGAAAGTATCAAAAGGAGCTTGATCAAAGAGCCAGGATGGTTGTCTGCTTTGCAACTTATTGCAAGAAAGGGAAAGTTTAAGTGATGAAAGGTCTCAGGGTATCTAATCCACTGTTTGACAGCAAGGATTTTTTCTTAATAATTTTCTTGTATTCCTAACATTTTTTCATAATGTTAAGCATAGAAGAAGCAAGTAGTTTAAATGACGGATAGATGGGATAGACAAGATATAATTTAATAATGAAAACCCAAACTTAGACTTGTCTTTATATACATAACAAAGATATTTCAAAACATATATGCTATATATATATATATATATATATATATATATATATATATATGTTAATTAGCTAAGGGAGACCTTGAAGGAAGAGGGTCAAACATGATCTCATGGTTGCTGTTTGAGAATAAAACAATGGTGTCATAGAAATGTGAGTATTTTTGAAAAGGAGGCTAATTTGGAAGCAATGATGACTTCAGCGGCATATGAGGCATAGTTAAGGACGTTCAATCAAAATGTATTTAACACCCATCCTGTTGCACTAATGTTATAGGTACAGGGGATAGACAGGGGAACAAATAAAACAAGTCTGTTCTGTGGAGTTTACGTTAGGATGGTGTGGAATGGAAAGAACTAAGAAAAGTAAGTTAATGTAAGATGTAAGACAAAGGTGCTGTGGAGAAAAATGAGGGGAGAGACAAGGTGACATAAGGAGCCTAGCAGCACTGGGAAGGAGTAAGAACTGCCAGAGGGTAGAATAGGCCCGAGGGAAGGTCCTCGAGCGATGGTCGGAAGCCAGTGAGGGGAGGCGCTGCGCAGAATCTGAAGTTACAGTGTTGTAGCAAGAGAGACTGACTGAGCAGTGCTGCAGTCTTGTTGAGGTTGAGGAACATCAAAAAAGCTCATGTATTTGGGGACTAAGATAGAAAATGAGGTCAAGGGCAGGCGAGATAGTTCAGCCGACAGAGGTGTTTCCCTCCAAGTCTGATTCGCAAAGCCCTTACGGTGGAAGGAGAGAAACAATTCCCACAAATGATAATAAGTTAAAAAAAAATACTATAAAGAGCCAGGCATGGTGGTGCACACCTGTAATCCCAGCACTCAGGGAAGCAGAGGCAAGCAGATTGCTGTGAGTTCAAGGCCAGCCTAGTCTACAAAATGAGTTCAGGACAGCCAAGGCTACAGAGAAACCCTGTCTCGAAAAACCAAGCAGTCAGTCAATCAATGAAAATAAAGTTAGCTCTAAATAGGTATGGAGGCAGAAGTGGCAAGAGTAGATTACAGTGAGAAATTCAGTGCTGCCTCTAAGCATAAGCAGAGGCCATGGGAGGCTTTTAAGGATTAAAAACATGGTTTGAATTACATGTTGTAAATTAGTGTGTTGAGAATAGACCGGGAAGCAAGGGTGGAAGTGAGGATAGCAGTTCACGTGAGAGCTAGTACCCTAGGGCAGAAGAGTAAGGAGTGATGCTAGGGTGTGGTCAGATTCAGGATCCAGCAAATAGCATTTGACAGATAGTATCTACAAGGCTAGAGACATACATGGCTCAGCATTTCAGAGCACTTGATACTCTTGGAGAGGACCCGGGTTCACTTTCCAGTGCCCACATAGTGGTTCATTACTGCTGGCACCAGGCACACAGGGTGCATATATATGTACAGGCAGAATGCCTACACACACAAAACCTAAAACATTAAAAAATATAAACAGGGTATATGCAAGAGGAGTCAAATATAACTGCAAAGTTTTTGTTCTGGGTAACTGAGATGGGGGATGTCATTCTGAGCAAAAGAGAGGCAGGCTTTGAAGTATCTACGGAAATCCATGGGGCTGGGCCAGGAAGGCAGCTTAGTATAGCGCTTGCTGCAACAACATGAGAACTCTACTTCCATCCCCAGAACCCAAGTGAAGAAGCCAGGTGCCACTGGAAAGGCAGAAATGAGTAGACTTGGTTTATTGGTCATCAAACATAGCCTACTTGGAAATTCCAGGCCAGTGAGATATCGTGACTCAAAAACAAGGTGGAAGCGGGCATGCTAGTGCACACAATTAATCCCAGGACTCAGGAGACAGAGGCAGGCAAATCTCTGTGAGTCTGAGGCCACCTTGGTCCACAAACCAGTTCTGCATATTGAGATCCTGTCTTGTGGGGTAAAGATAGACATTTTCTGCAAAACAGTACCTGAAATTGTCCTCTGACCTCCACGTGGACACACATGCTCACCCATGCTCACCCATACACATGAGCTTGTGCCTCTGGCACTTCATCTTCAATAGTCAGAAGGATGGGTAGTGAAGAGAATGATTAGGAGAAAGAATGATGACACATACTTTGATTGAGAGACAGGTGTGTGTGTACACAGACACACACACATAGTAGGTCAGAAGAATCAAATTACAGAGTTGTGGAGGTGAAATAGAGAAGGTGTGGAGAGTAGTCAGCTACTTCAGGTGCAGCTCATAGGTCAAGTAAGAAAAATTGGGAACTAGTTATATATTTAGCAGTATAGATATTACTGGGGACCTGGAGCAGCGGTGGTGTATGGGAAAAGATCTGGTTGGAAGGAGTCTTAGGAGAGACAAAATGAAAGCCAAATGATGATGTTGTGTTGGTGTTGGGGATAGAATTCAAGGCCCAACTCATGCTAGGCAGGTTCTCGAATACTGGGTTCTAATACCCAGAACCCTCTCCTTACTTTTTACTTTTTATTACAACAGAATATCACTAAGCTGCCCACACTAGCCTTGGATTTGCAACGTCCTGGCTCAGCTTCTGGAAGAGCTGGGCCTGCAGGCCTGTATCAGCAAACCTGGCTTGAGGTTAAATATTTTCTAGATAGTAAAATAATAGCATGGTTGTATTCAGTTACTTTTGAAGCAGCTGAAGAGAAAGTTTTTTAGGAGAAAGTGAAGACTGTCAGGAAGTGGGAGAGATCAATTGGTCAGCCATCAGTGCCTTGTCCCCAGGTGAAATCTATGGGAGGTGGAGAGACGGCTTAGTAGTTAGACACACTGAATGCTCTTCCAGAGGACCTGGGTTCAATTCCCAGCACTCCGGTCTCTGGGAATCTTGAGAAGGGGATCCAGAAGGTGGTACCCGTCAGGCTTCCTCTACTATAGGACTTCTCAGCACTATACACGTTATATACATACATGCAGGCAAAACACCTGTACATGTAAAATAAAATTTAAAATGAAGACCTTATGGATTGTATGTGAGTAGAAAGGGCCAGTAGTTTGAGCACAGAAGTTAGTAGAGAATTGATGACAGACTTCCTTTTAAGATTATTTTTAGTCATATGTGGACATGTGTTTTGGCGTGTGGGCCTGTGCACATGAAACGTCAGGGGCCAGGAGCATTCGACCCCCTTGAGTTGCAGTTGCTGACAATTGTGAGCTGCCTGACCTGGGTGCTGGGAACCAAACATGGGTCCACTTTGGTTTTCTTTAAGAACACTACACACTCTTGGCCACTGTGACATCACCCCAGCTCAGGGACAGAATCTTCGAGTCAGCTTTTAAATACTTAGGTATAAGATTTTCAATTAAATTGTTAAATCTTCAACTGAGAATAGGATAGGGGGAATATGAGGGCTTTTGTGCCTGAGGAGAATGAGTGATTACTAACGGTGAGAGGGTTATGGATTTGGTAAATGTAGGACTGGGTAGCCTATTGGATATTCTTGGTTACAAGTGTAAATGAAAGCAGTGACCATAGTCTCTCCGTTGCTGCTTACAGGCTGTAGAGAATTGGACTTTTCTGGAGTTGGGTTAGTATGTGAGATGGACTGCAGAATAAAGAAAGAGAAGTGAATCTAGCTGGTGGTGGTACTTAAGATTGTTAGGAAGGGAAATGAGAACAAGAGGGGGCTAGCATGGGCAGGATAGGTCCTGCAACAGGTGAGCAGCAGGCAGAGTTGGATGTGGGCAGGAGTGAGCTGGAGAACAGGAGGTGGTGGTCCATCTGGAGCTTGAAATTGTGGGTCCTAACAGGGACTTCACAGTATCATGATGGTGGGGTGGGGACTGAGGCCATATGGAGGAGAGCGTGAGGGAGTGAATGGCCAGGAGGGTAGAAGAATGACCTGTGAGGATGTGAGCACAGCAGAAATTAGCACAGGGCTGGTATTAGAGAGAGGGGGACCCAAGTAGCTAGGATAGTCAGGGAGAAAGGACCGATAACTTAGTGTCCCCCAGTGCAAAGCTGGCCTAGAGTGGACATGGCCTAGACATACAACCTTCTCTGTAGCCCTCACTATCTGGAATTAAAATCATTTCTCACTGTTGAATCTTTCAGGAGAAAGTCTACAAAGGTGAACAACATCTTATGGCTGTAGTATCTGATTGAGCAAAATGAGAAGTTTAGAGGCCTGATCTATCACAGATTTTAAAAATGATGATTGTTGGAGCTGGGGAGATTGCTCAGGGATTAAGAGTTCAATTCCTGGCAACCACATGGTGGCTCATAACCATCTATAATGAGATCTGGTGCCCTCTTCTGGCAGGCAGAACACTGTATAAATAAATAAATCTTAAATTTAAAAAACATATTTAAAAAATGATGATTGTTAGCTGGATGTAGAGTTTCATAGTGTCATCTCAGAAGAGATGGGAGGAGCCAGGCCAGCCTAGGCTACCTAGCAATACTGTCTCCAGACAAAATGGTCATGTGAGTTTTCTTTCATGCACTGTCATAAAGAATAAAATTTTGTTTTAACAGATGGGAAATAAGATCAAGATTGCAAAATGTCCTTTCAGAGCAAAACAAACTGGACACATTCTAAAATCAACACAAAATACTTACATTGGGAATGAAAACCTTTTTCAAAAGAAGAGATTTAGTTCAAACACTTCACAGGCAAAACCTGAAAAAAGTACATCAACATTTTCACCCAGTAAGGATTTAAGTAAGCAGTATGCAGAAAAAGACTGTCTTCATTTCCAAAAGGAGATTTTGCCCACAACCTCTAATGTACAGAAGATTATAAGCAGCACAGATGCTTGTCTAGTGGCTAAACAGAAACCTTGCAGAAAGCACACTACGCCCGAAAACATGAACAGCGGTTTGGTATGTCTAACCCAAGACCAGCTACGGCAGATTTTGATGATGAGTGTAAACCCAGGAAACAGATCTCTGTCCCTGTCTGAAAATGGAAAGGAAGAGGAAACAAGTAAGATTTTCCTTAAACTTTGTTAACTATTATTTTGCCTAATATGTACTTTAGAATTTCAGATTCATTGGCTTTTTTTTTAACTGTGCCTCTTAAAATCTAATTTAACATGCAGTAATATTAAGTGATTGTTCACAGTCTTTTCCTTATGTATAAAATATATAAAACTGATTTATAGTTTTGCCATATTTTAAAATTAATGCTCAGCTGGGTGTAATGGTACACACTCAGGGAGGCAGAAGCAGGCGGATCGCTGTGAGTTCAAGAACAGCCAGGTCTACAAAGCAAGTCAAAGACTGCCAAGGCTACATAAAGAAACCCTGTCTCAAAAAATAATAATAATAAAGTAATGCTCAAAATATTCTTTTTTTAATTTTTGAAACAGGATCTCTACATAGCCATGGCTGTCCTGTAACTGTGCATAGACCAAGATTCCCTTGAACTCACAGAGATCCACATACCTCTACCTCCTGAGTGCTGGGGTCAAACGCGTGTGCCATGATTCCTGGCCTTAAAGTAATCTTACAATATCTGTTTTGGGGGCTGGAGAGATAGCTTGGCAGTTAGAATATCTATATAAGCCAGATATGGGTTTCAGACCTGGACTCCCTGGACTCAGCAGACCGAGGCAGGAGGAGCACCACAAACCTGAGGTGAGCGAGGGCTGCATGCTTATCAAAAGATAAGCCTCTGTGAAGACTGGAGTGACAGGAATGCACTGTTCTGGCTGCTATTTGTATTAGCTGTTCATTCTTGTCCCGTGACTGTACCTTTCTTTCACCAGTGTAAATCACAGATTTATCCATAGAAATAGTATTGTAGCCTTTCTGTTTCACCAATCAAGGTTATGTTTTAAAAACCTAATTTCAGCTTTGAGCTAAGGAATTGTGACTATGAAAGTACTCGAAATACCAAAATTTTAGTAAGTATAGTGAGATGAAAGAAGAACTGGCAGTGAGCACAAAAGGACCACACAGCTAGCGTGGGGCCAGGCAAGTTCCGTGTGCCCTCACGCGTTCACAGTGGAGCTCCTTCTCCCAGTCTGTGTTATTTGTAAAATAAAGGAAGTTGGCTTTCTTTAGTCTGGAATTGTTGCTCGGGATTATATCTCATTGTTAGGTAAAGTGAGAGTTCACATCAATACAGTTAAGATATTTTACTTAACCATTTTATGTACTCCTTCCTCTTTGAGAGAAGTAACACATGCAGGAGGAATCACAATGTTTAAGGTAAAATATGAACCTTCTAATAAAGCACTTGGTTTAGTTATGGTAGCTGGGGCACATAGTTCCCAGGAAACTTCCACAGGTAAATAAGAAAAACAAGGTCCTGGGTCTTTATTAAACTATTTGCATTTGCCTTTTTTGTATTGTGATTTATATTATGATATAGTTATTTATATAGTTACAGATAATATGTATTTTTAAATATTATCAGTTAAGTCCTAAATATAAAGTATTTTGGCAAGAGTGAATGGAGTTTTTTGTTTTGGTTTGTTGGACAGACCTCATGTAAGCAGGCTGGCTCTACTTCCTGAGTGCTAAGACAGGCATGCTCGACCCTGCTTGTTTACACAGTGCTAGGGATGGAATTACTTACTGGTTGGGCATAGGAGACAATCACTGGCTGTCCTGGAACTCGCTCTGTAGACCAGTCTGGCCTTGAACTCAGAGATCCCTCATCCTCTGTCTCCTGAGTGCTGGGATTAAAGGCACCTCCACTGCCCAGTGCTTTCTTTTTTATTTGATGCTAAAAGTTGTATGGCTGTGGCCATGAGTCAGCTGTTTAATCTCTGGGCTCCAGTTTCTCTCTTTGCTTTTGATTTACTTATCTATTTAGAATAAGGTCTCATGTAGGCCAGGCTAGCCTCAGTCTATACAGTAACCTGTCTCAAAACAAAAAATATATCAGTTTGCTGCCGCTACTGCAGATACTGTTTTCAGGATGGTCTTGAACTCCTCCTGTTTTCAGGGTGGTCTTGAACTCTTCCTGTCCCTACCTCCCAAATGCCTTTGAAGCCATAGGTTTGCACTATGTGCTTGCTGGTTTATGTGGTACTGGGGTCAAACCTAAGGCTCTGTTTCTGCAAGGCAGGCCCTCTATTCACCAAGTTACACTCTAGCCTGTTGTTTTCTTTTTCACTTTTGAAATGCCCTCACGTAGCCTAGGCTGGCCTTTAACTGCTGATCCTCTTGCCTCTACCTGCTGAGTGCCAGGTTTGCAGGTATGTGCCGCTATACCGTAGCTTCTGGATTTTTGTTTGTTTGTTTTTGGCAGATATTTCAAGGACTGTTTTAAGAGTTTATTGTTGTTTGAGACTGGATCTCACTGTGTAGCCCAGGCTGAATCACAAAGATTGGTTTGCCTCTGCTTCTTGAATGCTAGGCCTAAAGGTCTGCAGCTCCGTACTTGCCTATTTTTATTTATTTATTTTTTTTGAAGCAAGGTCTCACTCTGTATCGTAGGCTTGCCTAGGACTTGCCTTTATTTTAAAATATGCATTTTATTTCCTAGGTCAAGATAGTTTACATTTAATCGGTATGCCTGGTCAGCCAAAGGATGTGAGTGTTACAGGTATACTGCAAAAAGCGGAGGCTGCTTCACCCTCGTCAAGTGAAAATGAGCATGTCTTCAGTAGAGCTCAAGAGGCATTTCAACAGTGTGAGCAGAAAGTTGCCATGTAGGTGACTCATGTATTTCTGGGGTATATCTGTAGAATATGTAGTTGCTTGTCCATTGCATGGGAATTCTCTGAAGACTTGGCCATTTAAACACTTATTACTGAATATTTATGCAGTCAGTCACATAGAAACAATGATAAGGTTCCTGGGTTTTTATGTGTTTGTGTTTTCTCTTAGAGACAATGAATGGAAACCAGCTGACATATTCAGTACTCTGGGGGAAAGGGAACGTGATAAAGGTTTGTTGGAAGCAAAAAGAGCCCAGTGGAGAAAAGATCTAGGTAATGTTTGTACCTTTTATCATACTTTTGCTGGCTCGTGGAATATTGGTGTTGTGGATAATATCTTTCAGTGTATTGTCTTCTTGTCTGATAACATTTGCCATATGCAGTTCTCTGTAAACCAAGCAGCTTTGGAGTTTCACCTTGCCCTCTGTCTTTGGAGTTTCACATTGCCCTCTGTCTTTGGTACTGTGCAGTGTGCACCAAGAGCAGCATGTCACTAGTACCCTTCTGGAGCACTGCAAATACTCCTAAACCCTCTGTTTAAGTTTTTCTGTTATAGAAATCCTGTGGCTTGAGGTATGGCTTTATTAAAAAAGTGTGTGTGTGTGTGTGTGTGTGTGTGTGTGTGTGTGTGTGTGTATTATGGTACCTAGGAGCTTTATTTTTTAGAAAAATTAAAATTATGTGTGGCTTGTATATGTCTGGGTCAGAAAACAATTTCTAAGGGTCAGTTCTCTTCTTCTACCATGTGGGTCTTAGAATTGAATTTAAGTTGTCAGACTTAGTGGCAAGTGCCTTTACTCAGCCATCTCACTAGCCTATAGCTTCAGCTTTTTTTTCCACTTCCAGCAGTTAGTGAGAAATGACTAACATCCTTACTTTGTGGTAGACCCTTCTCGGAAGTAGGCAATACTATTACTACATTTTATGGAAGAAGCTAAAGGCTAGGAGGCAAAATAACAGTTTTTCTGTTACCTAGATAGAAAGTGGTTGAGCTTGAGGTTGACCCTGAAGTTTAGCTATGTACCTGGTAAGTCTGTTAGTAATAACATAGGAAGGTAGAGCTGCAGAGTGGTTAGCACAACAAAGTATACTTCGAGAAACTGTTTCACATGACTGATAAATAAAAAGACTTAAGTTTGGTTCTGATTCAGTGTTTTCTTTTATACCGTATCCTTCAAAGTTCCTTTCTGCCTTGTTAGGCATCTCCTCCCAAACAGACAAGAGGTGACTAGCTCTGTGTTTTAGTTTGCACTCTTTCAGAAGGTTATGATTTGTTTACATGATTCTTTTTTTTTCTTACAGTTTTTGTATATTTTTTTAAAAACCACATTATTTACAGATGAACAGGTTGCTTTAAAGAAGAAAGAAAAAGAAGCTTCTCAAAGATGTAATAATCCTTGGAGAAAATCTGAAATGGAACGTGAGAAACTTCAAGTCCTTGATCAATCTAAGGTTAGTATATCAAGTTCATTCAAGCATTCTTGTGTGTTTGTGCATCCTAGCAAAAAACATCTTTTTTTTCAAGACAGGGTCTGACTAGGTTAGCTATGGCTGTCCTGGAATTCACTATGTAGAAAAGGTTGGCCTTAAACTCACAGAGATCCATCTGTCTCTACCTCCCAAGTGCTGGAATTAAAGACATATACCATCATGGCTGGCCTTTATTACAATTTTTAAAATGTGAAATAGTGTTCAACTTATAGGACATACTTTGTTCTTTTTTTTTTGTTTTTGTTTCTGTGGCAGGAATTTGTCTGGCCTCAAACTTGGGGCAATCCTCCTGCCTCAGCTGCTTTGTGCTAGGATTCCAGGCATATGTCATCATGCCCACCAGTATACATTTTCTTTTTAATGCTTATCGATTCAAAACAAAACCAAACCCTATACTTTCCTTAGGTTTGATATGGTACTTAATTTACTCATGGCACAAACTAGTCTTCTAAACTTCCCCTTGGGTTTATAAGTTGCCTTGCTGTATTACTAGGTTAAGTGTTGGGACCACAGCCACCTCCTCTAATCTCCTATAACAGAGTGGTATTGCTTGTTTACATTTATCATTTATTTGTGTGCTAAGTGTATGTGTATGCATGTGGGCATGAGTATACCACTCTGAGTGGAGTTTTTAGAGGACTTTCAGGAGACGGCGCTCTCCTTCCAGCATGTGGATCCTGGGCATTTAGTGCAGGTCTTCAGGTTTGGTCGGCTGTTCTCGGAAAGCTCATTAGAAGAGCCAAACTAATGCTAAAAGCAGAAGAGGAGACTTGCTCACTTTGCCACATTGGGAAAAGGGACAGAGATCCATCATCTCTCCAGATACATCTGCAGGGTCTTAACTTGGTAGGAAAGTGCAGATTAAGGTGAGGTAGGCATAACTAGACTTCTGGCCAAGGTGGTCCCTCACAGTTGTGTCAGTCTGCAGAGCAGTCTGCCAAGTGATAGGCATTTCTCTAGCTGACACTTCCTCCTCTGGCTCTCTCTGGGTTCCAGCCTCCTCCTCCAGTAGAGGGTTCATTTGGGGAGACCCATTGTTTGAGTAGTCTGATAGTCAAAAAGAGGGGCACAATGCCCTTTTAGAATGTATTCCTATTACACTAATATGGATTTAAAAAAGCACAGAACTCCACCACTGACTTTTGATACCTATCACAGGCTTATCATATCATCCATAAATGTTGACACCCCAGTATCCTTTAGGTAGGTAGTGCTTCTGGGACTTTAGGTCTTTATTGATGTTTTATTTTAGATAAGGACATGCTTTGTTTTCCTTCCTTTCCCTGCCTTTGTCCCTGTCTCCCTCCTGCTCTTTTTTCAGACATTCTGTCACAGGTTCCTTGTCAGGTGACTGCCTTCTGGGCTGATGAATGGCTGCTTAGAGATGTCCAGTCATTAGATGTTAAGTCCTACCTATGAGTACTTTGGATATTTAAACCTCTTAGTCCTTGATTTCTGTATAACTTATTTGCCTCAAAGAAATGATTCAGAGTCTCTCCTTTTTAATTGTCAATTATTATATATATTTTTACTTTTCAATCTTTTTTTTTTTTTGGCGTGTGTGTGGTTTGCTTGTACATCTATATGTATATTTTCAAGTTGTATATGTGGAAGCCAGAGAAGGACTTCTGGTGTCTCCCTAGATCACTCTTCATCTTATATTTTGAGACAGAATTTCTGGGGATTGACCTCACATGCTGGTTTATGGACAGGCTCCCCAACTGTCCAGCATTCATATGGCGATTTTAGACTCTTTAGGGCTTGTGGAGTGGGTTTTAGACTCTTGAGGGCTTCTCTACCCCAACTAGTTCCCCAATAATTGAGACAGAAGCCTCTTGGATCTATGAAAGCTTTAAATCACAGTAACTGGGTAGGGTATCAACCCTCTAAGCTATTTTGTTATTTCCCAGCCACACACCCCATGTTACTTGCCTAATTTGTTCCTGTCTGGCTGCTTCTGTTCTATCAGGCTAGCCCTCAAGGCCATGTGCTCATGGTCCATACTGACCCTTCTCTTTGGCTTTCTCTCCTCCTGCTACATCTTCTCTTCCTCTCTCATCATCCCAGTTTGTGTTCCCGAGACCCCAAGCTTAGGAAGCTTAGCTCCTCCTCTTCTGCCCAGTTACAGCAACTTTATTAACCAATCAACTTTAAATTAGTAGAGCAAAGGTTTACACAACAAAGACTGGTGTGGTGAGACCTCAAGATCTGGGCAGCAACCAGATCGTGGTGCCAGTGATTAGCATTAGAATACACAGCACTAGACCAATTCTCAACAGTCCATACTTACCCACAGTTACTGTCAAGGGCTTGTATCTGTGGCTCAGTAAGTGGAAGTCTGAAAACTAAAACACAAAAACCCCAAAAAAAGATAAGCAAGAAAAAAAAGGGTGCTGAGCAGAGGCTTTATGCATTGTGAATGTGATAGGCTTTGGGGGAAGTTTTTGTTGTTGCCTTTCCTTTTTGTACATGCTAGGCTAGGGGTACATCTTCAGCCCTTGGAGAAATATTTTATTGTACTGTTTGATTGTATTATGTATCCTACTGCTTTACTGCACACACACACCCCAGCCTGTGTGGAGATGAGTAGAAAACATTCAAGAGTCAGTGCATTCGGGACTAAATTCATCATGCTAGGCAAATGTCCTTGCTGAGCCATCTCACTGGGCACCAAGGTCGACTTGTACCCTGGGAATAAATAAAGACACAAGTTATTAAAAAGTCATTAATATGTGACTTATTTAAGGTCTCTATTGCTATGATGAACAAAACACCATGACCAAAATGTTGGGGAGGAAAGAGTTTATTCTTTTTACACTTATTTTTTTAAGATTCATTTATTTATTATTTATATGGCATTCTGCCTGCATGTGTACCTGCACACCAGAAGAAGGCATCAGATCTCACTATAGATAACTATGTATAGTTATACATGAGCCACCATGTGGTTGCTGGGAATTGAACTCAGGTCCTTTGGAAGAACAGCCGGTGTTCTTAACCCCTGAGCCATCTCTCCAGCCTGTATTCTTCTTATATTTACACATTGCTATTCATTGAAGGAAGTTGGAACAGGACCTCAAGCAGGGCAGGAACCTGGAGGCAAGGAGCTGAAGCAGAGGCAATGGAGGAGTGCTGTTAACTGGCCTGCTCAGTCTGCTTTCTTATAGCACCCAGGACCACCAGCTCAGGGTTGGCACCACCCATAATGAGCTGGGCCCTCCTACATCAATCACTTAACTAAGAAAATGCCCTACAGCTGGATCTTATGGAGGCATTTCCTTAATTGAGGTTTCCTCCTTTCTGATGACTCTAGCTTGTGTCAAGAAGTTGACATAATGCTGTCTAATACAACATGTAAGCTCCTCAAAAGACTGGCATGAATTTAAAGGAACAGTTTATGAACACTTTTAAAAAAATAAGAGGCCATCTGGAACAACTGCTGCTGAAGAGAGCCCAGTAGTTAAGAGTGCAGGCTGTTCTTATAGAGGACTGAGTTCAGTTCCCAGCATCCATGTATTTCATGAATGCCTGTAACCTGAGCTCCAGGGCACCTGACATTCTGTTTTGGACTCCGGGAACCTTCACCCATGCACGTAGCTGCATTTAATACATGTAATTTAAAATAGTAAAAATCAGGGCTGGAGAGATAGCTTAGTGGTTAAGAGCACTGAATGCTCTTCAAGAGGACCCAGGTTCAATTCCAGAACTCACATGGCAGTTCACAACTGTGTAACTCACTCACAACTGTGTATGTGTGTAATTGGGTGAGTGGGTGACACACTCATCCAGACATACATGCAGCAAAACACCAATGCACATAAAAACAAACAAACAAAAATAATAAAAATCTTAAAACCTTATGCTAGCATATTAGAGAATTTTGATGCAAAATGGGGGGGGGGGAGCAGTGATCAAGTGGTACTGTATTCCTGTAGAAATTGAATCCATTCTTAAAGTGTCCATACTCAGGAAGCCTAGGTTAGGGAATCATAAGTTTGAGGCTAACCTTGGCTGCCATGTAGTGAGCCCTTATATCAAACCAGAGATGATGAAGGGATTGAAGGGAGCCCCAGCAAAGTAAACTCCAAGCCAAGATGTACTTAAAATAGGAAGGTTTTCAGTGTGATGTTTAGAGTAGTGAGCCTGATAACCAAGACTAACAAAATATTTTTATATTAAAACTTGAATAGAAAATTAGAAAAATTATAAAGAATAATTTGGAGAGTTGGGTTTATCCAAGGAATGTAAGCTACTCTTAATATTCACAGGCTATTGATACTCATAAGCTTAATAAAAAAGTTGGGTCAAGCTGTGTGATGGCGCCACATGCCTTTAATCCCAGGCGGAGGCAGGAGAATATAAGTTTGAGGCCAGCCTGCTCTACAGAACTAGTTCCAGGACAGCCAGGGCTACACAGAGAAGCCCTGTCTCAAAACAACAATAGCAAAAGGCCAGATTAATATTAATATTTAAAAAGTCCCTAACAGCATTAAAAAGATGATCTACAAAGCAAAATGATGGGGCTGGGAAGATAGCACAGCTAGGAGGCCATGAGTGGTAGTGCAGTCCACTGCTGGGGAAGAGGAGACATGCAGATCCCTGGGCTTGCTGGTCATCAGCTCAGCTTGCCTTAGGTCCTAGTGAGAAAGCCTGTGTACGAAAGCAAGCTGGATGGCTCCCAAGAAGTAAGCAACAGTTCTGCGTGACCTCTGCTCCCTACCTCCCCCACACAGAAGAAACAAGTGATGACTTGATTTAAAAAAAAAAAAAAGTGCTCTTAAATTACCTACCTGGATGAAAGACTTATGTCTAGGATATATATTTTTAATTTGGCAAGAGATTCTGAGTAGCTACTCCTAGTATGGTAAGCAAGCATGTGTAAAACTAAGACTTTGAACTGTATGCTAAACTTTTGAGTCATTTGGTTTCAGAGGCTTTATGTAATTTTAAATTGAAAGTAATTTCTAAAAATTTAAATATAATTACATAATTCCCCTCTCCTGTATTGCCCCTTAGCAAGTTCACAGCTTTCTCTTCAACCATTGTTGTTACACATGTGTGTATACATATATGTGTGTGTGTGTGTGTGTGTGTGTGTATTGTTGTTACACAAATATAAATACAAAAATATAAATACAACCTGCTGAGTCAGTTTACTGTTACCTGCATGTACATATTTCTAGGACTAACCACTTGGTATTAAATAACTGGGGGTCTCATCCCTGGGGAAGGCTAATTTTACGCCTTTGGCTTATAAGTTTTCACCTATGGGTGGAGCCTAGACATTTCCCCCTCTTGGTTGGGATGTCAACTGTTTTTGTTTTCTTTAAGCAGCAATGTTGAGATTTCATGGGTATAGCTTCCCTGTCATAGCTGGAAGGCACACAACAGACTTTTTTATTTTTTTCCTACTCCTCTGGCTCTTATCTTTCCACCTCCTCTTCTGTGATGTTCCCTGAGCCACAGGTGTGGGTGTTGTGTTGTAGATTTATCACTTGGACCTTTGACAAATTGTGTCTTTCTGTAATGATTTTCCACTGCTGCTGCTACTTTGATGAGATTTGATGAGGTGAGTTCTACACTTACCTGTGGGTATAATCGTAAGTATTTAGAATACAATTAGGAACTACACTGGTTTAGTAAAGTGGTAGTTGTAGATTCTCTAACATCCATGATCTCGTTAGCCATATGTAGTTGACTAGGTTTACAGTAACAAGCATGATTTCTTCCTGTTAAGTGGACCGTAAGTCCAGTTAGACAGTTGTTGGTTGCCACCAAGATAAAAGTGCCATTATTGTACCTTTAGGAATATTTTGCTCTGCTGGTCATTGTTGGGGCATCACAGCTAAGTAGGACTATTGATTGCTTCCTCTTTAGCACCTTATATATTATGCTTTTGGATCAGTTCCAGCTTAAATCCTCCAAGGGTGTGGTGTCTTCAGCAATATGTACTTACCTTTAACTTCTGGGATGCAACCAAGTAGAAATACCCTATGTTGTTTTGAGAGATGACTTGGACTCTACTCACCTGCACCTTGAAAGGAGGTTCTCATTCTTGGTACTAGTAGTTTTATTAGATAATCTAAGGTTCTTCTTGGTGGGGGTACTATGACCTCAAGTGTATAACTTCATTTAAACGATATACATTTGTATGTACATATGCTTAGATGTAATTTTAAGTAAATATAAAATAACATTTGTAATATTCATTATTAAGTAATAAATCCCTATCACATTTAAGCATCCCATATTACGTTTCCTCCTCCTTCCTCCCCAGTTGAGGTCCCCAACCTCATTTTCCCTTATTACCTGCCATTCCTCTCCATAGAGTATTCCTCACCCCACCCCCCACAGTCCTGTTTACTTTCCTAGTTTCTCTAGGTCATTGATTCTCAACCTTTCTAATTCTGTGAGCCTTTAATGTAGTTCCTCTTGTGATGACCCCCAACCATGAAATTATTTTGTTGCTACTTCATGACTAATTTTGCTACTATTGTGAACCATAACATAAATATCTGATATGCAAGATATTTGACATGTGACTCCTGTAGGTGTCAGGACTCACAGGTTGAGAAGTACTGCTCTAAGTTATATATCTATACCTAAATATTTGGAGCTAGGAACCACAGATGAGAGAGAACAGTCAGCATTTGTCTTTCTGTTGTCCAGGTTACCTCACAGTATAATATTTTCTAGTCCATCCATTTACCTGTACATTTTATGATTCAAGATTATGCTGTTCCTTTTCCTTTCTTCCTTCTTTTCTTCCCTCTTTCCTTTTTTCCTTTCCTTTCCTTATTTTCCTCTTTCTTTCCTTTCCTTTTTTTACAGCTGAATAGTATTTCATTGTGTCTGTGTACCACATTTCATTCTCCATCAATCAAAGACCATTTCTCAGCTATTATGAACATTGGTGAGCAAGTACCTGTGAAGTTGGGTGTAATTTTGCTTGTTTTGCTATTTTTATTCTTGAAATATCTATGCAGTCAACAGTGTATTCTTTCCCAAAATTGTATTTATATAGACCACATTAAGTGAAGAATCAATTAAAGAAAACATTTTATTTCTGTGTACTGTGTCCTCCACCCTCCACCAGTATATATAACACAATTCTGAGGGTCAGATTGTCTGCTTAGTATAAGGTCAGATTCTTTCCTCAACAGCACTACTTTTCCTAGGGATAGATGCCTTGGTAGGTTAGAGCTTCTGAGTAATTTGGTAAGCTTGACACTGTAGAGGCCTGACTTCAGTTGGTTACTGACTTGTTCAGGAATCAGGACTGCTGGAGTCCTCTTGCAGAGACATCAAACAGGAGCAGCAGAGAAGATGGAGTGCAGAATTGAGTAAACAAGTAAAAGATGACCAGCAAAGGAAAACAGAGGGAAAAAAATGTTATATTCAGAGTTATCTCAGGAAGTTTATAGCATTAAAGGAAATAAAATTCTAAGTCTTTACTCACATAAGCTTAAACATTCTAAAATTATTTGGTGAATTATACATTTATCCTTATGAAAATTTTCATTGAATGTATTTGGTTTGGTTCTACATAGCGTTTTAAAACTTGAGAAATGCATCTAAAGATTACAAAGTCATCTCATTACGCAGGAACAAAAGAATGCAATTCTGTTAGTCTTTAGGATGCATCCACTGATGGGCTTTTTAAGCACACACATCTGCACCACATGTGTGCAGTGCCAAGGCCAGAGGGGGCGTGGGATCCCTGGGACTAAACTAGCAGGCAGTGCCTGCTGCCCTGTCGGTGCTAGGAACTGATCCCAGGTCTCTTCCTAAAAGAACAGCCACTGCACTTAGCCACTGAGCCGCTTACAGCGCATCAATGGTGACTTTTAGACTGTGTTTGTCGTTTATAATTTTGTATGGGAATAGTTGAAAAAGTTCTAAGCATTTCCTATTTTTCACTCTTAGGGTGAGGAAGATGACAGATGGGCAATGCATTTCGATTCATTAAAGAGTCATCCTGGTTCTCAGTCTCGACTGTCCTCTCAGTTAACACACCAACACCTGGAGTCGTTTTGTGTGTCTCCTGACACTCAGGAACCGGCTGATGTCAACAGTGTGTATACACCTCCACCTAGAATCCAGGTGGAGCCTTCAGAGGAAGAACAAAGAGCCAAAGCTGTCATGGATATGGCTGTGTCACATGGTCAGAAAACAAAGTAAGTATTTTTTAGTGTTGATTCCTTTAAGAAAGTATGTTTGAATAGGACTGTCACTATGTCCAGTTAGGTTCAGTTTGGTATTTTTCTTTGAAATAGAAATGATTAGCAGGTGTAGATTCAGCAGAAAACTGGTTAACCTTTTGGGAGTTTTGAGTAACAAATGTATATATCGTTACAGCTTTCTCCGTTCTATGACGGCACTCTTGGACCCAGCACAGATTGAGGAACGGGAAAGACGCCGACAGAAACAATTAGAACATCAGGTATTACACTTAAAATTGTTGTTGTTTCCATAGTATGCCTCATATTGTAAAACATTCTTTTTCTTAGTAAGTCATGGTGGTGGCCAACATACACCTAAGTAAATGAAAATTAATTTTTTTTTCCTGAGATAAGCTTTAATGTATTTTAGGCTGGTTTTGAACTTGCTATATAGCCAAAGCTGGTGTCGAATTTTTGAGCTTTGTCTCCACCTCCCAGATCCCAGAATTATAGGCATATATCACCACACCCAGCTAGAAATCTGATAAAAATTTTCACCTTGAGTCTAGTTATATCCTGCTGTAAATCCAGTCTCTTAACACAGCTGCCATCAGATTAGAGCTAAGTTTGGGCTGAGGACCAAACAGTGTTATTACCATGCTGCCTGCCTTCTGGTGGAGCCTTTACATGAGTGTGTGGTACTGTCATTGTACTATCATTAAGTGCTGGCTAGTTCCTCAGAGTTCTTTTCAGGTCTTTGAAAGAAAACACATTAAAAAAAAAAAATCAAAGTAGACTTCTGACTAAGCAATCTAGTAGTAATATAAGGCTGAGATTAAAACTTCTTTCAGGCTGACATTAGAGGGACTTAATGTCTGAGTAACTTTTTGGTGGTTCTCCTCTGAAAAATGTCTGTGTGGGGTATGTGTTTGTGTGTAAAAATGAACTCTCACCATGTTGCTCAGATGTGGCTCAAACATTTTCTTACCTAAAAGTCTTCTGAGTAGCAGGAGCCACAGACAGGCATTTGGCAAGTACCTGTATTAAACACAGGCAGGCATTCCGCAAGCAGCACTGTGCCCAGAAATTCTTTGTAAACATTTTATGTGAGTAATCTGGGCCACTTAATTTTTTTTTTTCTCGAACTCAGTGAAAGCTGAGAGCATCTCCCATTTATCAGTCAGCGTGCTGAGTACTGAGGTTATTTCTTTAGCTGGTTATTTTTGTAATACACATGCTAAGGAAGCACAATTCTCCCCCAACCTTGCTGTGTGTATAACTGATAAATTATATTCTCATCATCAAAACCAGTGATGCCTGAGGTTTTGTGACTATAACTTGTAATCATTGATGACTAGAAAGCGATCATGGCTCAGGTAGAAGAGAACCGCAGGAAGAAGCGGCTCGAAGAAGAACAAAGAAAGAAAGAAGAGCAGGAAGAGGAGCAGCGCTTGGCACGGGAACGGGAGGAGATGCAGAGGCAGTATGAAGAGGACATTCTTAAGCAGAAACAGAAAGAAGTAGGTATTGATAGTGGAAGTAATGAAGAGGCTGAGGGTCTGCCTGCAATTTGAATTGTGCGGCTACATGTGGAGACATTAGGTTTGCCAAGGTCATATTCCTCATTTGGTCCAGATTTCAGATGCTGCACACGATAATTGTGTAGCTACATGTAGAGCTAGCCATGTACATCTAGGCAAGGTCATAATCTTCACATGGTCCAGATCTTAGATGCTGTGCGCTTGGCCTGTTAATGGGAGATGGTCAAGGTGAATGCAGCACCAAGCTTCACTGTGATCTGGATAGAAGATACACAGATAACCTACAAATAATTGTAAGTATTGGGCCTGCAGTTTGGCTCAGCAGGTAAGGGCTTTTGGCCACCAGTGCCTGGATCCCATGTTCCAGGAGAGGACTGTAAAAGTTGACTTCTGACCTTCATATACACACTGTGATACAACCATTACCTCCTCCTCACCCTCCTAAATAAATCTAAAGTAATAATGATTCTTGATACTGAAAAAGAGTAATGATTGGTTGGAATTGCTGATGAAATTCCTGTGTTAGAGGCTTCCTTTGGGCTCAGTAATAGCCTTTTCAAAGAGTTGATGTCTTGCTGTCTAGCAGAACTCTCCATTACTGATTCAGACAAAGAAGGTAGGGTAGTCCAGGAATTGTGTCTGAGCATATCATCCAGTGATAATTCAGTTGTCAGTTTTAAAAATACAAAGTCTGCATTTCCTTGCCAGTTTTCACTTGGTACCCTTCAGAAGTTGGATGTGGAAGGGGGACATATGATATGCAGTCCAGTTTCAGTAAGTAGGCTGATACAGCTGGGCATGGTGCTGATGCACACCTGTAATCCAGCATTTGGGAGTTCAAGGGCAGCCTGGTCTACACAGTGAGACCCTGTCTCAAAGCAAGACCAAAAAACTTAAAAGCATTTTGGAATTTTATTCTCTTAAAAGACAAGAACTTTGCCCTGTTGACTGTTCTCCAACTAATATCTAGACCAGCATCTGATATGAAATGCTGAATGGGAAGTCACTTCAGTTCGTGCACTTGGTAATTGTTTTGCTGTGCATGTTAATCTTGATAGGAAATCATGACTCTGAAGACAAATGAGCTATTCCACACAATGCAGCAAGCTCAGGAGTTGGCACAGAGACTAAAACAGGAGCAGAGGATCCGAGAACTGACTCAGAAAGGACATGACGCATCCAGGCTGATTAAAAATCTTGGTGGTAAGTGACTAATCAGAACTAAATATTTTTAAAGAAACTTAACTTTTCACCTAAGCCAACTTTATTTTAAAAAGCTGTCCTGAAAACATTTACACTTTGAATATCTTTTTCACAGAAAATTTCACAGTAATCCTGACATAGGTAAAAATATGTGCTTTAATATTCATTCTTAGATTTTTAGATTCAGTAAGTGCTAAGAATACAGGTAACTTTTAGTAATAAGTTTAGGCTACACACTAAAGTCTAGCCTTTCTAAATTTTGCTACAGTTTGTGGTGATTAAGTCAAAGACTTCAGCTGAACCTAAGGTGCAAGGGCTCAAACCCAAGGCCTTGTATGCTAGGCAAACACTGTCACTCAGCTCTGTCCTTAGCCGCCACATTGGTACTCTGACATGGCATTTTAAGGTCTGTTTCTCATTGCCATTTGACGCAGCACATGTGGATTTTAAGGCATCCATGCACATTTCCAGTTCAAGAAGCGACACTGAGGAAGCTGCTGACGAAACAAGTGCAGCCGCCACTTCCACAACCTCTCCCAAGAAGGACACTGGCGTGCAGACAGGTATTCATCTAAAGTGTTCCATTAAGTTCTGTTTCACATTTAAAATTAGGACATCTGAGGGGTTTTTATATTTTGCATTTGTGACAAGGTCTCTTGAAGTCAAGGGTGACCAGGAACTAACCTTCTGGCTCCACTTGATGAACACTGGGATAAAAGCCATGTAGCACCATACCCCTTTTATGTGGTAATAGGAACTGAACCCAAGATGTAGTATATGCTAAGCAAGTGTTTTACCCAACTGATCTTTGTCTCTAGCTCAGAAATTTGAGGTTTTTAACAAAATAAAGGGATCTTTTACTTTTTAGGTTTGGATTTATTTTGAGATATAACTCACATGACATAAAATTTAAGTTCTTCCCCATCTTTTCTTTTGTAGTTACACATTCTAGGAAAGCACTGCACCACTGAGCTAAATGTCCATTCCAAATCTTACTCATTTAAGGGACACTATTTTAGTGCATAGGAAACTCACTCTGTAGACCAGGCTGGCCTGGAACTCTCAGAAATTCCCCTGCCTCTGTCTTCTAAATTCTACTAATAAAGGCATGCCTACCATGCCCAGTTCTGTTTTGTGTTCTTTAACACTCATACTTGTGCAGTTACCATCACAATTTTAAAACCTTTTCAGTTATCTAAATTTATTTCCTATGGAAGATGCTTTTTAAAAATATGGAACATTTAACCAATTTGTATGCCATCCTTGACAAGGCCATGATAATCTCATTCCAGTTTTAGTGTATGCACATTGGAACTGACCATAGTACTCAATGAGTAATTCACAAATTCTTCTCACTCTCCAGTTCATTTTCTCTTAGAATATTTGCCTGTTTTATAATTTTCATGTAACTGGAATTATGTTGTAAGTGTCTGGCTTACCCTGATTTTCAGCATGATATACATGGGTTTATCCATGTTGTAGATGTTGTAATAAAATTCCATTTATCCCTTAGAGTACACTGAGAATTATACTGGGTTTCACCTATAAGTCTATTGACATTTTGGTTTCTTGTACTTAGGACTATTGTAAATAATGCCACTGTGAAGTTAGAAATTTTCCATTCTTTTAAGAGACAGGAATTAGAATTTGAGTTATGTGATAGATGCATTAAGCATTTTGGGGAGCTGCTGAACAGTCATTCAAAGCACCCATCTAATCAGTAGTGTAGAGGTGTTTTGATCTTTCCATGTCCTTGCCAACACTTGGATTCTGATCTGCATTACCCCAGGGACTGATATTGCACATCTTCACGTGATGGTTTTAAAGAATTTTATTTTTAATTTGATGTATATGTCTAGGATGGGTGGGCTCGTGTAAATGAATATAGTGGAGACCAGAAGAGGGTGCCAACTTTCCTTGAGCTGGAGTTATAGGTGGGAGGCGCTGGGAACCTGACTTGAAGGGCAGTACTACTCATAACTGTGGAGCCAGTTCTTTGGCCCCTGGGCTTGGAGATTTTTGAGGCAAACTCCCTAGAGTCTTTAACTTTTCATCCCAGGAAACCCTGTTTTGTTTTCTCAGTTCTGTGAGGTCACTTTATCTTTTTCCATTTAAAACTAGGTATCAGTGGCCTTTCCTGTAAGCATGTATTTATGGCTCCTTATAGTCCTATAGTAACTTCTCATACTAAGCCAAGAGATCACACTGCCCAAGCCACTCTGGGGATGGACAGGTTCACCTAACATGGTTTTATGACAGACTTTTCTGGGGAGATGCAGCATATCTCACCCCAGAAAGGAAGCCCAGGAGACCAGAGGAACAATTAAGCCAATATTCCATTGGTGCCAATCTTACTGGGTTTACTAACAGGGATGCAGGTTAGGGGTCACTGTTGAGGATCAGGGATAACTCAAAAACAGTTGCATCAACAACAAAAAAACCCACCCTGAAAACTGGTATCCACTTACCTGGAGCTCTGCACAGCTTGCAGACAGCGGGTCTGCTGGTCAGTCTCCTACAGCATTATTTTTTTGTATTGCTGGGAAGGGTCCCTTAAGAATCTTCCAAGAGGAAAAAAAAAAGCAAAACGACAACAATCTTCCAAGATAGCCTGGCATGGTAGCACAGGCCTGTAATCCCAGCACTCAGGGAGGTAGAGGCAGGTGGATCTCTGTGAGTGGAGGCCAGCCTGGTCAACGAAGCAAGTCCAGGACAGCCAAGGCTACACAGAGAAACCCTATTCCAAAAAAGGGAAAAAACAAAGAATCGTCTAAGATATTTCATATATATATATATATATATATATATATATATATATATATATATATATGTATATATATGAGCCCTCTCCTGAATGGAACAGCCATAAATGCATCAGAGGTTAAGAACACTGGCTGTTCTTTCTGAGTTCAATTCCCAGCAACCACTTGGTGGGTCATAAACATCTATAATGAAATCTGGTGCCCTCTTCAGGCCTGCTGGCTCATATGTAGGTAGAATACTGTATAGATCATAAATAAATCTTAAAAACAAAAAAAGCACATCACTATTTTCTGCCAGTCGTGCATATGAATATATATATATATGTGTGTATATATACACATATATATATGTATATATGTACATATATACATATACATTGCCCAAGCCACTCTGGAGATGGATAGGTTCAAATTTAGAATACATATATATACATATACACATACACACACACACACACACACACACACACACACACATTTTTTTTAAACAGGGTCTCTGTGTAGCCTTGGCTATCCTGGACTCACTTTGTAGACCAGACTAGCCTTGAACCCAGAGATCCGCCTGCCTCTGCCTCCCCAAGTGCTGGGATTACAGGCGTGTACCACACTCCCCACTGTGAAATGCCTTGTTAGTGGTAACCTAAAATGTACCTGCTATAGAAAACAGTATAGCAATTGCTCAAAAATAATTTAATAAAAATCCATTTTTGAGTTCAAACCTAAATAATTAGAACAAAAACCTAGGTCTTCCTGAAATATGGGTTCATTGCAGCATTACTTAGGTTGCTTCCAACTTAAATGTCTATGCAGATGAACAAAATTAGGCATACCTAATTGTGGAATTAGCATAAGGAAATTCTGATGTGTACCTAACATGGTTATAAACTGAGAACTTTATGCTAGTTGAATAAGCCAGTCTATCACTTTTAAATTTATCTCTTTTTTGATATGGTGTCTGGGCTGGCCTGGAACTTAGCAGAAAAGGCTGACGTTGAACTTGTTCCAGTCCTCTTGCCTCTGCTTCCTAATTGCTGGGATGATAGGTGTGTAGCACAGGGCTGTTTATATGGGCTTCTTGGGATAGTCATTTTATAGAACATCAAAGCAGAATAGTGCTTACAAGCTTCTTTTAAAGGGGATAATTAGTACTTCTTTAATGGGTATAGTTTCATTTTGAGGATTAAATTCTTAGGGATGGAAGAATGGCATAGAAGGTAAAAATGATTGCCACCAAGGCTGAGGATCTGAGTTACATCCTTGGAACCCACATGACAGAAGGAACCAACTTCCCAAAAATGTCCTTTGACTCCCTCATGCACAATATGGCATGCCCCACTACCCCAAATAAATAGTAAATCACTAAATATCTGAGAAAAGTAATTAGAAACGTTCATTTATTTTTATCTTATGTTTTTAAAATTAATCATTTGGAATTTTTATTTAGATGACATAAACTTAGGAATTTTCAACGATGCACTACCACACTGTGGATCGGTAACAGAAAGGGGCATTAGAAACTTTTCTTCTCCTGAGATTTCTGCAGAATTCAGTGGCCAGATTAGCATTAAACAAGACAAGCAAGAACTAAGTATGGATAAAGGCACTAATTTAGACAAAGAAAACAGCTGGTATAATGAACAAAATAGTAAGTCTAGAAGAACAGAGAAACAACAAACAAAACTCATGAAGAAATGTTCTAACAAGCCTGCTTGGAATATAAATAAGCCTCTCAAAAGGTATGTTCCTGCATCAGCAAAGTACCCTGTACATCTCCAGAAGGAGAAAGAAGAAAAAAAGGTAAGAAGGCAGATGGAACTGCTTCACTTAGTAGAGAGAAACAATCCTGAGAACCTCTCCCAAAATAGAGGCACTTCACCAGAAGTTCCTGCTTCATCTCGTCGAGAAACTGAATCAGAGACCAGGTTGCATGTAATCAGAAAGGTAAAGTTTTTTTTCATTGCTGAGTATGCTAGATGTTTCTGAATTCAAAGTAGTTACCCAAAATCCATGTTTTCAGAAGGCCAAGGTTCATCTAAAGTATGTTATAGAAAATTATGTCACACATCAGAGGAAGACAGCCATGCATGTTAAATGAACTGTCTGACTGTGCTGTATTATAGCACCTGAGCTGAGTAGCTGCATCAGACTGTGTAGCCCCAAAAGCCAAAAAACTTTATGTAGATGGTTTCTATACTCAAATGCATATGAAAATAGCATACATATATATGTAAAGAAAAATGAAATCTACCTTGATTTGAGCAAACAAAACAGCAACAAAAAAACAGAAATGAAATCATCAAAATTGTATGGAAATTGATGGATTTGGAAAGTGTATTAAGGTAACCAACTCAGAAAGGGAAAACAAAACATCAGGCTTCCACTTATGAGGGTCCTACGTTATAAATCAGCACGCAAATATTTTAGTATAAAAATTTAGAATTTTCTTGGTCAAGAAATAGGTGATGGAAGGATGAAACGTAGGCCAAAAAAAAAAAAAAAAAAAAAAGAATCCTTAAAGATTTGTTGCTGACAAATAAAACTGTGGTAGAAAAAGTGTAAAACCCTAAACAGAGCTAGGTGTGGTGGCATATCTTTAATCCCAGCACTCAGGAGGCAGCTAGGGAGTTTGAAGCCAGCCAGGTCTACACAGGAAGTTCTAGAGACCTTGTCTCAAAAACAATGCAACAAAACAAAAAACCCTAACCAAAGCTCCAGAATGATCATCCTAACTTAGTTCACTGCGATAGTTTTGGGCTGGTCAAGAGTTTTTGAGTCCCTTTCTTAAAGTAATTCTATATAGTTTTTGTGAGTTAACTGGAATACGATTTTATTACAATGAAGGTCAAATATTGTCCATGTAGAAAGATTATTTGAGCATGTCTGAAAAGTTGATGAGATGGCTTAGCCAGTGAACATGCCCGCCACAGAGCGAATGACCCGAGTATGAGACCTGTTACTAGGAACAGAAGCAACTCCTATAAGTCACGTACACACTATTCATATGCATGCACACACACATACAAATAATGTTTTAGAAGTATTTGGGGATGTGTGAAAATGCTACTTACTCCAGTTTTGCTTGTACTATATCCATCTTTTAGGTAGAAGAACCTCTGAAAACTCCTTCAGTTAGTAAAGAAAGGTATGTGTATTACTTCCTTAGCTGCACAGCATTGCTTTTGTAGGATACAAAATACCTATTCAAAATCCAGGTGACAGATCCATATACAGATTAAGGAAGTATTAGAGGTATGGCTTTACTATAGTGATTTTTTAAGCTGGGCTGCACCTAAACTGGTTTGACTTTTCCATGTCTGTCAATACTGGAATAGGCATTCAGCTGGATAAATCAGTCAGGGAAATGCATTGGCAAAAACAGTTAAAAACAAACAAACAAACTCAAAAAAAAAAAAAAAAAAAAAAAAAAAAAAAAAAAAAAAAACACCCAGGTAGCAAGTTTAGACCAGTCAAGATTTTTTTATTCTTTATCTTTGTGCATAAACCACCTGGTTTTAGACTTGTCTTACACTCGATCTATACTAGTAATTATAGTTCAGATAGCACAGGCAGTACTTTATGGTAAATCATTTAAAGAGAAAAGGTTGAACCACCCAACATTGACGACTCTTAGAATCTATTTAACACCCCCCCACACATACACACACTGAAGTATGTATGTCTGTGTGTATCTCCTTTAGTAGAACTTCAAATGAACCATTCTATTGTCCTGGTTTATGAAAAGTTATAGACCTCAAACTGCTATTTATAGTATTCCTTAAGGTAGACCAGGCACATCTTGAGTGAACTGTAATATGATTAGATGTATTTAAAACACGTAGTTTCCAGGGACCAGAAAGGTAGCTCAGCAGCTAAGAGCACTGGTTTTTCTTCCAGAGGACCCAGGTTCAGTTCCCAGCACCCACATGGTGGCTTCAGAACCATCTATGACTCCAGTTTTAAACATAAAATTTCTTATTAAAATTTGTTTGTTTGTTTACTAGGTTTCCGCTATCACCAGCAGTAAAAAGTCGAACTGAGCAAACTCAGACTTTACATTTACAACTAAAAAACAGTGACTATGAAAAAGAGACTCTGACTTTAGGAGATGGTCATACCAAATTATCAGATGAGATGTCTGAGCCATCTCATTTTATTCCCTACGTTCGAACAAATGAGATTTATTACCTTGATCCAGATGCACCCTTGTCTAGGCCTTCAACCCAGGACATCCAATACCAAAAATCTCATGGTAAGTTCAAGGTGAAGGTCTAGAGAGATGCCTATTGCTCTTTCAGAGTTTGATTCCCAGCATCTACACTGGATTCAAGGCTTTTGGCCTCCATAGGCAGCAGTACTCCATAACTTTCAAACAAACAAAATTGAACTCCCAACCCTAAATTTGCTTCGGTGTTATCTATGCTTTAATACACTATAGCTAACTACTAGTAATTTACTTGACTATTGTAAAAAACTTATCTGTCCTTCAGATTCTGACCAAGAACAAGAGCTGTTTGACTCTGACTGTATCAGGGATCCACTTCTTAATCCTAAATTGGTGAAAAAAAGGGATCGACAGCAAGCTATCCTTAAGGGACTTTCAGAACTAAGACAGGTAACTGTTTAGATGTTTGTTCTCTTTATATGATGGCAATGTTTGCATCACTAATGTTCAGTTCCCATATATTAACCTTCGACAGAAATCAAAAGAACCTTTTTCCTTGAATTTGCTCTCATACTACCATTTTTCACGTGTATCATCTCAACATTTGGGAAACAGGATCCCAGTCTAGGCTATATAAAGTAGTACTGAGAATTAAAGTCCTGAGACAGTTCTGATAGTAAGACAACTTTTATTTAAAATATGTACATTTAAACATCAAAACACAATAAAGTGCTAAAATGAACAAATGAAACAATTATGCTTTAATGAATTTTAACCAATATGGTCCATTCTTTAATTTTTTTATAATTTTTTTATTTTTATTAAATTACAGTTTATTCACTTTGTATCCCACCTGTAGCTTCCTCCTTCCCAATCACACCCTTCTCCATCCATGCCCCTCCTCCAGTCTACTGATAGGGGAGGTCTTCCTCCCCTTCCTTCTGATCCTAGTCTGTCAGGTCTCATCAGGAGTAGCTGCATTGTCTTTCTCTGTGGCCTGGTAAGGCTGCTCCCCTCTCAGGGAGAGGTGATCAAAGAGCAGGCTAATCAGTTCATGTCAGAGACAGTCCCTGTTCCCATTACTATGGAACCCAGAACCACTTGGACACTGAACTGCCATGGGCTACATCTGTGCGGGGATTCTAGGTTATCTCCATGAATGGTCCCTGGTTGTTTTTAAAGTTCGGAACAGAACAGATCTGTTCAAAGAATGAAATTATACATGTAACTGTTTACCACACTTCCCTCCTACACACATTCCTGTGATTTTTGCATAAGCTTTTACTACCTTTTACACAGGCAAAAATAAGACCTGGTAATATGCTGAAACCTGGCAGGGGCCTATTACACTGTATTTGGGGTAAATTTGGCTTGTGTGTTGCTTACTCTTTATCACCCTTCCTAAAGCTGGAAAACCACCCCTGCTCAGACCCATTTAAATTGTGCCCTTTAAGTGCTACCTCTACTTACAAGCTGGCTTGAGCTCATGACTCAGCCTGGGTAACTGACACAAAGGAGCAAGAAAAAGGAATGTGGTGTTCACATTTCATTTCACCATAACCCTTACACAATTTCAGCAGAGCAAAGATAAACACTGGGAATGTTAAGACTCTCACTGTGTCTTCTCATGATGTTAAGAGCACTTGAGAGTGGTAAAATAAATTATCTCTGTTTTTATAGTAGAAATTACTCTAGACAATACCCAAATGAGAAGGTTTACTACAAGAATTACTTAAAAAGTTGAAACTTGAGCTATGTCCAATAATTTTATCCTGAGCTCAATAATTTTTCTCTATCATAGATTAAGAGAAATATAAAATAGAAAAAATATTTAGGTTGGCTATGTATACCTTCACTAAAATATCAATGTGATTGCAGGGTCTTCTCCAGAAACAAAAGGAGTTGGAAACGAATCTCATACCCTTAACTGCAAACCAAGAAGATAATTTTAGTTCTTCGTTTTAAATATGCTCACCACGCAGCTGCATTTTTCAAGCACCCAATGAACAACTTTACGTTATGTAGTAAAATGGTGTATTTTTTAAAAATACAATAAAACAGCTTATAGTTAAAAAAAAAAAAACAAAACTGGTCTCTGGCATATTAGGATGTAAAAGTATGTTCTACTTACCATAGCAGATCTGGAAATTCCTGACCTGTTAACAGTGTTCCTTTAGACTTAACTATGTTGCTCATTTGTTCTGTGAAGTTGCTTTAGGGCATGAGAAGTACTATTAACACACTGAAATACTCTTACTGAAACAACACAAATTCATTTTAGAATTCTGGTTTACCTTTCCTACAAATTTTATTTTCATCATATTAAAATGGAGATTCCAGTTTTCACAATGTTGAAGTTAGCATTAGTAATAGGCAAGAGATATGAGTTATGAGGGGTTAAGATCTAGCTCCACCATATACTTTATATGAAGATTTAGTATAGTACTAAAGTGCGTTATAACTAGTTCTAATTAAGACCACCTCAAAGATCTCCAAATTCTCAAATACCATTGAAATCAGATGCCCCATTTTATAAAAACAAACAAAAAAAAAAAAAAAAAAAAAAACTAAAGGATCATACAAAACAGTATTTATCAAAGATTTCAAAAGGTTGACCAAAATTTAAGTGAAATAATTTTTTCCATAGCTAGGCCTAAAGATTAAGAAAATGCTACTTGTACTGTTAGATATAGCTTGAGGTACTGAGCCAAAATCTTATAAATATTTACACTGCTGGCATATACGTACGTAAAAACACTATATAAAAGCTTTAATCAAAATAAATAGTTGACATTTCAGCAAAATTAATTATTTGACATTAAAGTCATTACTATTTACTGTTCTTTTAAAAACATCAAAATTTACATATAAAACACACTTTAATTTGAAGCCCAAGTACAGGTAACAAATGTGAAACTGACAGGTGCCAACATGAGATAATCTGATTACAATATGTCCAAAAAATATATTTATTTCAATTCTCAGATGCTTCAAATGTTACAGGCCATCATGATTTACATGGGAAAGAAAAAAAAAAAAATTTCAGAAAGGCCAAGAAACTTGTTTATAAATCATCAATTCACTTTTAAGAAACTGAAAAAAGTCCACAACAACCTATTTTTTTTGAGTTACTGTAATTTCTCTTTGAACACATCCTTAACTTAGTGGAGATTTCTCTCTCTCCAAGTTTTTGTAAGCAGATAAAAAGTAATTTTCATTTTCTTGAGACTGAGTTGGTAAAAGGGCATATGGTGTTCCCAGAAACGTCTGATGAGTGAGAACATTAAAATGACTACATTTATGGGACATTTCTGATTGATTTTGGGAAGCCTGAAAGTTGCTATACGAATCTTGTTCTGCTGAACTGCTGTTTTCTCCTTCAGCGCATATTATATCAATAGGAGCTTTCTCTTCACAATCAATTTGGTAAGTCTTATCTTCTAATAAACTGTTTTGCATGTCAAGAGATGACTGCAATTCAATTTGAATATTCTTTTTTTGATCTGTTCCACTTGATCCTTTGGTCTCTCTCGCCAATATTTCTGAATGAAAACTGCTGAATACTTCTATATGTGAGATATCATCCCCTGAATCCAGAGACATATCCTCTTCATCCTTTTCATCGTTTTCTAAAAGAGCTACATTTAAAAAACAAAAAGCCCTCCTCTATTGAAATATACAATTTGTTTAGTTTTTACAATTATACACCACTCACACAATATAGTGCGTCAGGATCTGCAAAGTCCACAATCCCTTAAAGCTTGGTCTTCTGCCACAAGTTCACTTAGTCACAACACTCACATTAGGTGTGAGTGTCCAGATAATCCGATGCTAAAAGCTTCTGCGAAATGTGTTCACGTTTAATGTTGGGAAATCCCAACTCCCAGCTCCAAAGGGGTTAATGTCAAAACAGCATCTAAAGTTATACGGTAATTCAGTATTTCATAAGACAAATATAAAATAAAACTTCTGACATGTAGCTGCATTGACTTTACTAAACTGATTAGCGCTACTTAATACTCTGTCACCTCTGTTTTTCACCAAAAATAATTTAAGAATAGCTTTTATTTTAAAGTCTGGAACCAAGCAGAGGCCATCTCACAGAAGACTGAAGGTAAGATATTGTCACTACCTTGAAATTAAACTAGCATATATTACTTAAAGACCTTTCACAACCCAACAATCCCTCTATTTGGCTTTCTTAAGAAAAATGGACAGCAAACAGCAGGCAATAATATACCTCAGAGGGAAAAGTCATCCTCTAAATATGTGCTGTCCACAGTACAAACAAATGAATACATATCCTATATAGAACAAAAAACTTATACTGACTAGGGTATAATAAATGAGCAGATCTTGTACAACACTGTCTGTTGTTGACACTGAGGTAAGTGGTTTCAAATAAACATTTCATTATTGGATAAACAAAACCATTCCTCATTCTGCCTCACCTAAAGAAAATGAAAACTACTAAAAAGTTACCTGACTGTGACTCAAGATTCTCATTAGCACCAAGCAGCGGAAGATTTTCTTCTGTGACTGAGTTGTGATAGCCCACAAGACTTTTAAAGTTTTGCATAAAGTCTTCAGCAGTTGCAACTACAATTCCATTATCTGTATAACTGGAAACCATCTTGATATTCTTCTCTAAGTTAAAAAAAGAAAATGTACATAAACTGATACCTGCTCCCAACAAAATCTTTTCCACCACAGGGTCAGAACTGTGATGTAACACCCACTCCAGCATGCTCGTACCTGTTAGAAAGACTACGTGTCGCTGCTGTATGTTCTGAGCCTGAAGCCTGATAAGGCAGTCCATTTCTGGAGCATTTCGACTTTGTGAATCACAACTGTGATAAGACAAAATCTCAACCAGATGTTTCTTCTGATAGACATTCAAAAGAGTCAGCAGACTCAGAGCTTTAGTGTTCATTCTGTGAGATTAAGCAGAGTTCAGTATTTGAACGCTGGCATTTTGAAATTCAATATGGAAATTTAGACTTCAGTTAATTAAAAGAACTTCTCAGCTGAGGAAACTAGTAACCATTACAAGCTGTTAAGTTTACTGTTTGATATAAGAATGCTGGTTAGGAGGGAAAATGGGAATTGTGATCAGATAAGCTAGCTTTTTGAGGAGGAGGGTCTTGTAATTCAGTTATACTAACATCTGAACAAGTAACTTTATTCACTAAATAAATTATTCTTAATGTTATTAATTTTAAGCTAAGGACATAAAAGAATAAAAGGGTTGGGTGCAGTGTCATAGGTCTATAATTACAGGATTTCAGGAGGTAGACAGCCTAGGCTACACTGTCTCATGGGCAAAAAGAGTATAACTTCCTAACACAACATAGAATGTTTAAGCTATTTGTAATACTCCAAGATAAAATCTGGTAGAGTCTATTACCTGTAGTTAAAGAAAGATGAGGGTCACATTACTAAGCCTGGGAAAAATATACCTTTGGGTTTCAGTGATATGTTCTACATTATATATGAAGTCAAGATGAGTAAGTCTAAAAAGTACAGTATTAACTAGGTGTTGTGTTATACTCTTTTTTTTTTTCCAGCATTCAAGGGCTGAGTATGGAAGATTTTGGAGCCATTCTGAATTATACAGTAAGACTGTATGAAAAAAAAAGTATAACTACTGCACATAGCTGAACAGTGAAATTATTTAACCCTGAATTTTCTGAAGACAGTTAAAGAATGTCAATAGGTGTTAACGACAAGGAAAAGACCTGTTACCTAAAACCAGTTTTGGTGATGTACACCTGTAATCCCAGCACCTTGGAGGCAGAGGCAGAGAAATTGCCTATGAATGTGAGGTTCCTACAAAGCAGATAGCAGACTGGCTGGCGTTACACAGCAAAAGGTCCATCTTGGGGGGGAAATTAATTTACAAATAGAAATGAGGGACTGAAAAATAGCTTGGTGAGAAAGAGCACTTGCTCTGCCAAAATGAGGACCTGCTTTACATCCCCACCACCCATACAGCTGGATGTTTCTACAGTCACAGCATGGGGGACAAAGACTGGCAGTTCCTGAGAGTCCCCTGGCAAAACCAGTCAGTTAAGGTAGAGAAGGTGAGAACATCTTGCATTGGCCTCTGCATGCACAGGTTGCATACTCCACATACAAAAATAAAATTCTATGCCTTACATTTAGGAAATTCTAGCTGAGAAAAATCCTCTAATGTAGTTAATTACATTATAAAGACACCCTACTAACAAGATACAGCATGTCAAACTTACCATACTGTTTGTGCAGATTTCTAAGTAACTAGTACTCCAAGGAATCAATTTCCAAACATATTAGAAACCACTCAAACATATATAAGTCAGCAGTTTAATTATCTTGTCAGGCTGAGATTCTAATTAAACTCGACTATTTGGTAAGTTAAAGTACTGAATTGGGAATGGTCTAATTTAGATGGCAGATACAGATCAGTTTTTTGTTTTTTTTGGTTTTTTTAATGGCTTTAAGTATGTCATATAGGGCTGGGCTGGAGAGATGGCTCAGCAGTTAAGAGCACTGCTTGCTCCTCCAAAGGTTCTGAGTTTAATTCCAAGCAACCACATGATGGCTCACAACCATCTATAATGTGATCTGGTGCCCTCTTCTGGCGTTCAGGCGCACATGCAGGCAGAACGTTGTATACATAATAAAATAAATAAATCTTTAAAAATTAATAAATGCATAAATAAATATCATCTATATCACGATCCTCCTCTTCTCCCCAAGGCTTGGAGAACTATATAAAATAGGGAGCAGAAATATCCTAAGAGCCAGATGATGTGGAATGCTGTTGGAAAAACTGTCTTTTGGGCTGTTGGACTCAAGAATGTACAACAACTAGGGCTGCCTACCCAAAACTTACACAAAATTAAGCCACTCAAATATCCAGTGTGGGTGGGAAAGATGCTTATGAGGCTCCATCCCTAGCTAAGGAAATACTGGCAGCTGATAGGGGGTCTGGTAGGAAGTATCAATTTTCTTCACTTGAGTGTTGGCTTTGATAGGACGCCTATGCTCCGATGAAAAACAGAGGACATAAAAAAGAAAAGAAAAACAGAGGACATGATCCTGGATGTGGTAAAGGGAGAAGGCCTGGGAAAAACTGGTTGAAGAATGG